ATATTGGTTCTTATTAGTTAATGTAATCTATTAATGCTTTCATCGAGCCTAGTTTCAACCAAACGACACGATACCTAATCAAGTTCCCTATTGATGGACGTCGGTAGATTAAAACGCCTACCGAGTAAAAGATAAGTAGGAACAATATTATAATAATTCTATTAACTTGCCGCTACTATACTTGGTAATAGCGTCGCGAGAAGACAAATGACAAGAAGTCAAACCGTACTTACATTGTAGATACTAAGAGAAACTTGGTTTCGATGAATCTCTTAAGATACAATTGTTGGGTGGACTTTCATACGAAACGAAATTCCCCGCAACAATGTTATCTCGGGAGATTCATGGAAACCTAGTTTCTCTTCGTATCTAAGACAAAGACAAAGATAGTTCTGGAAAAGAATTGATCAAGGGATGTACTTCAATTGTCACTTTTTGAGCGAGATTCGCTGACAATGCTGGCGGAACGTTTGACAATAGATCAGACCTAGGGTGCGACCCTTGAAACTATTATAGCTACCATGGCAAGGTATTCCATGCATGGTGCGTTCATCTAGACCTCTCTGACAACTTGCGAAAACGTTTCTAAAACACTTTTATGTAGTCTTATGACTTAACTTATACTTAGGTTTGCTCCTTCATTAATATCCGGGTGTTCTTTCAGGCCTGAATAGCTACCAGAAATTTAATGTCGAACGATGATGTCCATGATAAGAAAGACGAAAGCTTAACTTGCTTTAATTGGAATACGTTAAGAGTGTGTAAATAACTCGTTTTCACAACTTGTAGTATTTACAAGAAACTTTCGAGGGACATATACCATACAACAACCTGTTCCAATGTTGTACAGGAATGTTGACTTAGTACATCCTCAGCCGTCTAACTGATCTCTTAATCAACATCATCGCTGAAGGAGATAAGTCTGGAAATTCACCCAATCGAAGATAAGACTCTGTAATAAGGCATAGAAGAGCAACGACAGAGGAAGAAGAACAGGAACGTTCTCCAAAGCCTCCATGAAGACAGGTGAGAAAACGAATGCAAACCAATTCAATATATAAATCGAAAGGAGAGAGTGACCAAACCATAAGCCGTATCATCTTGGCATTCAGAGCAACGGTCGGGCAATTTAGGTTTATTTAAATAAGAAATGAGTAGTAAACTATGAGAAAAAAGAATAATGTGTATAACATTTAGAGTTTTTTGGAAGTATTGTTTATATAAAAAGGCCTTATCCTTAGATCAAACTTGCTACCTAAATGGATGAAAAAAGTGTAATTGCATGACAAAATATAGACCTACTTGGCTAAGCAAAGAGAAATCAGCCAGTTTTTTAGCGAATATTATCATTTTTCGCACTATAAATCCAGATGTGTTTATCAAACTGGACAACGTCAGACTGTCTCCGCGTTGGGGACAGTTATCATCCTCAGAATCGACAAAGCTGGATTCGTACGCCGTCTGGAGATCATGGATGGCGGTCCACTCATAGGCGGATAGGCGGCGGGCCAGACCTCGATTAGTCTGATCAGGGTTCAATGCAACACAGCCCTGGATAGGAAGACGAGATGCAATAGGATATATTTGAGTTAAGATCTATCTTGAAAGGTATCAAAATAATGCATATCATAGTGTTTAAAACTAACATGACAATTAATATTAAGACAAATGTGATAGTAATGAGTAGAAGTTTAAATTATTGCTCAAGAGTCAAACTGAACTATTGGATATTAGGTAGTAGTTAGGCTGACGATTAATCCACTAACAGAGAATTGAAGAAAACGCGTGTCCTCTAAAGAATTTCATTATAAGCTTTATTCTAAAAGTGTATTATTATTAAGCTTCAATAATCATATGGAAATAATATCAATATGGATGGAATACAAATATTCATTGTATCGATAGATATATAGAATAGATCAAATGGAAGGTATATCTTCAAGTGAATGTGACATCTATTCTACAGCGCATTCTCAATAGCTATATTTGCCTGTAGGAGGTACTAAGAAGGGGTAGTCTACGCGAAGACTTTTGTGTACTTTGAATGAGAAAGCCACTTTGGTCGAATTGAGGTAAAATTCAGTGGAAAAATCAACTTACTTTTAAATTTATTGCTAATAGATCAACAAAAATACTAATAATGAGAAAGTTGCGAGATTATCTGTAGGTCTTGAATAATATAATGTATATATGTCTCTTATTCAAGATCGGCCAATAGTCTCAAAGCTAATTAATTATGAATATAAGGTAGCCTATTGTAATGGCTAAAGACAAGTTTGACTCATTGAAGACCCTGCAGATGGGATATGGAATACCAGTCAATTTCACCAAGACAGCTGATTCGCGTTGTCCTTAATACGACGTTCAGGTTGATGCAGTCCACCAGACATACTCTGACGTTCCGGGCGAGGACGATCTAAGCTTTCGTACGTTATGTGACGAACATCGTCTGAGCTGGGAGTCATTTTTATAAAAGCCTCACGTTAACACAAAGTCAAGAAGAAAATTCGACTATATATATGGTAAACATACTCATTGCGAGCAAAATTTAAGATATAAATGGATATTGAAAGGTTTGGTTAATTTACGTATACTTTAGTATGCCTGTGTTTATATGCATGTTAACGTCTGTATGCAAAACCGATAATAACTTAGAGTAGTTTAGAATAAGCTTAATATTAGCCCCGAGTCAGCAAGACTTAATTAATTGCAAGGGAAAGAGGAAAGAAAAAATGATGGCCGAGGTTGCGTTAGTTCGTAAGTAACCCTGGCTAAACTGATGATATGTAAGTCTGTACACATAAAAGTCAATATACGAAACCACCAGTCTGAACCCGTTAGTCTTGGTCATTAAGATTTAATGATACAAGGAGAAGCTTTGCTGGGATTGCGTAGCCCCGCACATCTGTCTTGGCTGATGAGCTTGGCATGTCTGTTGAAGGAGTGTTAACTTGGTTAGAAGCATCACTCAACTGACAAGTTGAGTCTTCTTTTGGACGGCGGTTCAACACCCTATTTATAGTGGTTGTTTGACCTTGTTTTCGCAACATGGTCATATTGGT